CCTTAAAAGATTTTAGGGTTACCTCTTCAGAGGGGGGAATGTTGGAGGGGAGGGAGTGGGCATGGATTTGACCAAAACTCCTTATATGCATGTATGAAATTCTCAATAAAGTTTTTGTAAAAGTTAAAAAAAATGATTGGTGCTAAAAGAAGACAGCAGATCTAGTAATTTTTTATTTTACTGCAATACCACAATCATATACCTTTATGCAATAACTGGTTTAGTTTTCATAAATTTTGTTTTTACTTTCCTAAATTTGTAGATACTATTAAAATATTTTTATTAGAATCAGTTATTTTAATAATGATTTAATAATTTTTCAAAGATAATATTTTTCATTAACAATGCTATAAGGTAAGGAATGAGAATGGGAAAATTAAAAATTTTAAAATGCACACACACATTTATATATGTATGTGTATCCTCAGAGACTTTTCTACCTATTTATGCTGCTGTTCCCTGCTCTTATATGAATATTTCTCCATTATTACCCGGGGAACTCTCTGTAGTATAGAGGAAGGAACATCAGACTAGATGTTCATTAAACCTACATACTGTATACTGCAAGCTTTAGTGGTCAGAGAATCCTGGGCCAGTCCATCATTATCATTTCTGAACCCTGGTTTCCTATTTGTACAAATGGAAGGTAATATCTACTTTTCCTATCTCACAATGTCAAGTTGAAGGTTGATCTTGATGGATATGAAAGCCCTTTTGACTGAGATATTCAGAAGTGCGGCCAAGTGAGGAATTAAAATTAAAATGCACAAATCTACTGCCTTTAACTTCATCCAGGCTAGTGGAATTACTCCAGTTCATTTGCATAGCAGTAGTGCACATCAGTTGCTAAAGGGCACATGCTTCTCCCTCTTTTTTGGTTGCTTTGAAATTCTGCCAGTAAATTTTTGTTGGAGAAACAGAAGCCAGTGCTGTGTGAAGTGTGCCCTAGTAGGTGATTGTCTGTGTGTAGTTTAATTTTCTAAATTAGCTTGAAGTCACTTACATGCAGGCATGGCCCAAAGGAATGTAAAATGCATATATATATATATATATATATATATATATTGCTGTATCTCAAGAGGTAGAAACCACAAAGGCACATATTAATATGCAGAAGCTAAGTTTCCATATGGTCTATGTGTCAAAAGCTATAAAACAGAAGCACAAAGTATTTGCAACATACAAAAGATAAACACTGAATTCCCTTAATATGGAAAATCCTCTCTTGTGGGTCAGTGAATCTATAAAAACGTTGCCTTAACTAGTAATTTAAAAATGTAAAATGAGGGCTAGAGAGATGGCTCAATGATTAAGAGCACTAACTGTTCTTGCAGAAGACCAGGGTTCGACTCCCAGCACCCACATGGTGGCTACCAGCCATCTGTAAGTCCAGTTCCAGGAGATCCAATGCCCTTTTCTGTCCTCCGTGGGCACTGCATGACACTGCTACACTTACACACATGCAGGCATAACGCTCACACACATTAAAAAAAATTAGAAAATATAAAACCAAGCCAAAAGATGATTATTTTAACCGATCAATTTAGTGAACATGAACAGGTATAAGACATACTTCTGATGTTTCCGGTGAGCTTGCAAATGGTATAGTCATTCAGTAGGGCAGTTTTTCAAGTCTTAGAATTTTATAGCATTTATAAGACTTTGACTAATCCATTTAATCTTTAGTAATTTGTCCTAAAG